CCTGCTGGTACCTACCGGCCTGGACCGTTGATCTGAATCGACGGTCCAGATTCAAACTGGACTTGGCGCCTAAAATGTGGCAGCCTCTGAAGCGCGGCCGGTAGGTCCTATGCTGGACCGGTACCGGCCTTGTGGCCATTCGGCCTGGGCTTCTACCTTGGGCCTGCCTGAACCGCCGTGGTCCAGGCCCATCTGCGCCTCATCTGAACCGTCGTCCCTTGAGCCTACCCTGCCTGTCTGGAACCGGGCCCTAACTGGGGCCCGTGTGGCTCAGAATGCCACACACTCCCCCCCTTGAAGACCGAGCTAACTGCGAGGGCGAAGCTGTCTGTCCGATGTCCGTACAGGGCGGGCAGGTTGGGCAGCTCTATTAGCAAGTCGCTGTTTTTCGTAATGCGTGAAGATGAGGGGTGATGTCGCCTTCAGGTCAGCTCTTGAAATCCAGCGTGTTTCGTTGGGATCGCATTGCTTAAACGTAACTTTGTACTGCATAGGCTTGTTGCCATGCTTGCGATGCATGAGAACGCGGTCGACCTCCTGATGACCATCCATTGAAGGAGAGTCCTTGACCGTCTGCCCGAAAAGTCCACTGCGGAGGCTGGAGTGTGGACTGCCAGCTTTGAAGTGTGGAATATCGGGTGGACCGTCAAATGTGGGGGAATCTCAATGATGAAAGATGGACCCGCGGGGTCATCGCCAGCTGCTGAAGTGACCATCCATGGTCCAAACCACTTAGGGAGGAGCTTGCGCGAGACGTGTTGCTCGAGCGTGAATTCCTCGGAGGTGACCCAAACTAGGTCGCCAGCGTGAATTGGACATGGGATGCGACGCCGGTTCGCTTGCTGCTGCATACGGACCTGAGCCTTTTGCATGTTTGCGCGGGCTTTGGCCAGCAGTTCCCTGTACTTCCGTGTAGAAGAAGGGGAGCAAGCGGCGTCGATGTCGGCAGCCCATGGAAGCAAAATGTCTGCGAAGATACGTCCTTTCCGTCCACCGTGGTGCAACTCGAATGGAGTCACGCCAATCGCCGGGTGCACCGAAGTGTTGTAGGTGAACTCGATGTCGGGAGGCGGTCAACCCAGTCCTTCTGATCTGGGCGGATGAGTGTACGGAGCATCATCTGCGCACGTTCCGTTTGCCCATCCGTTTGAGGATGCCGTGCGGAACTCGGTTTCATGCTGGTGTCGGATTCCACCATGAGTGCCGTCCAAAAGGCCGACATGAAACGAGTGTCGCAGTCGCTGACGATGTCTTTCGGAATGCCGTGGCTGCAAAACCAGCCGGTATGCAAAAGTCGTGCGAGCTCGGGAGCTGTTGCATGATACTTGCATGGAAGAAATCGAGCGTATTTGCTCAAACGGTCAACGACCGTGAGAATACCGTCATGGCCAAGGCGATCGCAAGGGAAAGGACCGGTCACATCCATAGCAATGGAGAGACCCGGTTCCCGAGGAATCGGCAATGGTTTCAATTTGCTGTACGGGAGCTGATGACGCCCTTTGTTCTGGTGGCAAACTGCACATGACTGAATGTACCGGTTGACGTCGCTGATGATGCCCGTCCAGTGAAATCGCTGGCGGAGTCATGCAAGTGTGCGTGCAACGCCAAGGTGTCCCGCCAGCCGCGAATCGTGGTATTCGCCAAGAAGGCGAGTGCGCAAGATGAGGTCTTGGGGAACACACAACAAGTCCTTGCCTGGTGTATAAAGAAGCAAGTAGCCGTCGACGATGCGATAGTTGCTTGCCGGCGGGTGATCCGATGATAAGTCCGCATAGAGTGTGGAGAATCCTGGATCTGACTTGTATCCGTTTACAAAGTGTTGTTGCAGGTTCTCATCGAGGCCGAATGTGGAGTGCACCAAGGCGCAAAGAACAGGTCTTCGCGAGAGAGCATCCGCTGCATTGTTCGAGGAGGCCGGAATGTGCTTGGCGGTGAAGTCGAACTGGTCAATGAAGTACATCCACCGACCGATCGTGCTGCTCACCGTGTCTTGCGTCTTGTAATACGTCAACGGATTGTTGTCCGTTGCCCACGTGAATCGCCGACGCCCCAGGAGAAAGTGTCGCCAATGCTTAAGTACGGTGACAAAAGCTAGCAGTTCCTTCTTCCTCGCATCATCAAGAGTGTTGATGGGCGGCACCTTTTGGCTGAAGTACTCAATCGGATGCCAGTCTGTGCCGTCATGCTATTCCAAAACCGCGCCAATGCCATAACTGGAAGCGTCCGTAGTCACTTTGGTGGGCAAGGTCAGGTCATAGATGCTTAAGACGGGAGCTTGAAGCAAAGTCGTCTTCAGCGTGTGAAACGCATGCCGGGCTTCGTCGCTGAACTCGAAGGGCACCAAGGGGGACTGAAGTCGCTACAATGGTGCAGCGATGCGTTGAAATCCTTTGACGAAGCGCATGTAGTATGATGCCAAGCCGAGAAAGGAGCGGACGTCGATAGTACACTTGAGGTCCGGCCAATCTCGAATGGGTTGTACCTTGTCCGCGAGCGGACGAATGCCTTGCGGCGTAACGTAATGGCCCAAGTACTCCAGCTCTTGATGGGCAAACTCGCACTTGTCGCGGTTTGCCTTGTACTTGGCGATACGGAGCCGCTCCAATACGGCGCGAAGGTGCTTGAGGTGCTCGTCCAGCGTCCGACTATAAACCAAGATATCATTAAGGTAAATGAGTACGGTGCGGTCGAGCAAGTCGCGGAATTCCGTCGTCATGGCCGCTTGGAAAGTAGCCGGGGCATTGGCGAGACAGAAAGGCATGACGATCCACTCAAAGTGCCCATACTGCGTCTTGAATGCGGTTTTGTACCAATCTCTTGGCTGGATCTCGATCTGGTGGTATCCGGACTTGAGGTCAAGCTTTGAGAAGTACTTGGCGCCGCCTAGTCGCTCGAGAAGATCATCGATCCGAGGGAGAGGGTCGGCGTTCTTGATCGTTTGTGCGTTAAGTTTCCGATAGTCGATGCACAAACGAAGATCCTTGTTCTTCTTCTGGACGAAGAGAACGGGAGCACCGTATGACGAACAGCTAGGGCGAATCCAGCCCTTGGCTAAGAGGTCGTCTAGTTGTGCCCGAAGCACTTGAAGTTCCTCTTCGCTCATGTGGTAGATACATCCGCGCGGAGGTACGGCGCCGTCCTTGAGAGTGATCCCGTGGCGTATGGGCTGATCCGGTATGACTCCGGCGGGAGCTTGGAAGACATCCTCATAGCTGTCCAACAGCTCGATGATGCGTGGGTCCGACGTATCTGTCTTGGGCTGATCACCGGGTTGGAGGGCGCGAAGAAAACATATGCCCATCTCCTCGATGTCGTTCCATCAGATGGATTGGCGAATGCTCGCCGCGGATACCACGTGACAACCAATCGAAGAATGAGGAAGCGGCACCGTACACGGGACTAATTCGCCGCGCCGATCACGGACGTGAACGGTGCATCGATAGAAGTTCACCGGATGGTCTTCGCTTTGCAGCCACGACATGCCGAGGATCATATCGAACTTCGTGTCCAATATGTCGAAAGACACGACCTCGCATGCTAGAGGGGCAAAGTACACGGGCACCGAGTCAACGCATCGGTCGATTGACTTTTGTGTGTGACCATCGGCCAACGTGACGTGCGTAGGCTGACTTTTCCTTCGAACGCGCGGGCCAAGCCCGGCGCATGCCATGAAGTCTTGGCTGATGTAGTTGCGAGTCGCTCCACAATCGATCAAGGCACTGCAGGTCGCCTTTCCGATCTGAATGCGGATGTAGAGGAGTGACGCGTCGATGTCAACGTACCGTTGCGTTGCGTACTCGCGGTCGATCTTCGCAAGATAGTTACAAAGATCAACAACCGCTACTCCGCCGTCCGTCAACAGAGGTGGTACTGCAGCGTGCAAGTATTCACGCAAATGTGCCATTAAGGCATTGCAATGCGGTGTTGGCAAAGAACCGGCGGAGGGAAGAGGCAACCATTGGAAGTCTTCAACCGTCAGCGGGTCGAGTTCCTCAAGACTCGCCCAAGTTGACGGATCCTCCGATAGAAGGGCTGGCGAAGCAACCGGTTCGTTGTCCAACGGCGGAACTACCGCGCATGCGCTTGAATCTTGCACGTGGAGAGGCTGGTTCAACGGTGGGACCAGCTCGACAGCATAGTTCTCGAACTCAATGCGAGAACTTGCGACTACCGCGTCATCCCCGGATGTGAGAGAGGCTTCTAGCAAGGCAGCCGACTCCAGCGGATTGGGAAGTGATGTCGCTGCACTTCCGCGGTGCTCATTTTCCCGAGCTTGGACGTTTGGCATTCTCCTTGTCCTTGTCGACTGGTGATGTGTTTGGTGTTGTTGCACCAAAAACAGCATCCCCATTTCTGTCGCAACTTGAACATGTCTTCGGTAATGCCGAACTTTGTCCATGGTGCCTGTCGTGCTCCATCCGCCGATGCTGGTTTCGCCTTCTGTTTTCCCCCTCGGGGTCTTGAGCGTTGAGGTGGTATCATTGCCGCCACATCTCCGTCACTTGATGTAGACGCGGCTGCGGGGTCCTCACTTGTTCCTTGCTGGACTGCTGCTACTTGCGGCGCCCGTTGACCCTTGCCTTTCTCCACGTAACCGGGCTGTTGGCGGGTCTCGTTGGCCGCACGCCAGTTCCCTTGGATTAGTTCTCTTGCCTTTGAGATCAGATCATCAAAGGTCTCATACTGAAACTCGGTGCCCAGCGCTGCTGTCAAGGCGTCACATGACCGAGCAAAAAATTTGGCCTGGATTGTGTCGAATGGTAAGTTCAACTCCAGGGTGGCGACGAGTCGTTGCCACTCCGTCAGCCATTCCCGTGACGCTTGCTGGCCTTGGTAGATGCGGAAGATCTTGTTCATGGCATGCCGTTTGTCATTGTTGACCATGAACCGGGTCTTCCATTTCTTCTCGAATTCCTCCCACGTAATCTTCGTGTGGAGGTTGACGATGGTGCATTCCAACGTGACGACCATGTCATGAAAGCCTGCGCCCCTCCGATGAGTTGGAGGTAGAGTGCGTCAAGCCACTGATGGGCGGGTGTGTGATGTACATCCGCCTCTGCGTTGAAAGCCATCCACCATTGCAGCGGTTCGGTCTTGTGATAGTCATCGAACTTCTCGATCTTGAAGTTCGGCATCTTCCATTCCTTGGTGGCAGCGGCCGATCGTTGCTCGATGCGGTCGCTGAGCGTCTGCAGCTGATTGCTGACTGTCGTTGCTCCAGCAAACTTGCTGATGTCGCCGAGGGATGCGACCGTGTGGTTGATCCGCTGTTCGAGTTGCTTGGCCTGTGCGGCCAAAGCTGGGCTGCAGTCTACCACTGCACTGCCCGTTGGCGCAGCTGCCGACAGTTGTGCCAACCCCATGCTGACATCTGCCTGCAACTGGTGGTTGAGTGTCTGCTGCTGGCTGTTGAGTGTCTGCTGCTGGTTGTTGGCGGCGTGTACTATGCTGTTCTCGGCCTGCAGGGTAGTGATCTTCTTGTCCATTGCCTTGAATGTTGTTTCATGGCAGATGAAGACCTGCCGTATGGCCAGCAGTTCACGTTGCTGCCAAGTGCACGTGTACAACAGATTCTCCATCAGTACTGCTATACCTTCCTTGTTACTTTCTTCCTCGGTTGGCTCTTCCCGTTCTTCGGTTTCGTGGAAATGTTGTCGTCGAAGTAGCCTGCAATACGTGGCTTCGTCGCGTGCAAGGTCCATCGTGGCTTGGTAACGAGCTTGGTGTTGACTTGCTTCGACCTGCTGCTGTTGCAACCATGCGGCTGCTGCAGCTTCGGCTGCGGCCTGCTGACGTGCTGCCTCTGCCTCTGCCAGCTGGCGTTGAATTTCCTGCTGGCGGGCGGCTTCCTCCTCTTCCCACTTGCTGAGTTCAGCTGCCGTGGTCTCCGAGTAGAGCTGGAGCCGTTTGAGAAACGCTAGAAGTGGTTCATCGTCCTGCTGAACTGGGACAGGAGGGGTGACGGGCCTCTTGGGGCTGGCTTGTGCATTGTCGCCAGCGGTAGCAGCCATGGTCGTGCGTGGCCTGCGCGGAACCTGAGGGGTCCTAGGTCCTTGTTGAGGCTTGGCTCTTGCGGATCCACGCTCGGCCAGTCGTTGGCTGCGGCGCATCAAGTACTCTGGCCTACGTCGGCTGCTGATGGGTCACCGCTGAGGTGGCTCCTGCTGATGTGGCACAGTTGAGGTGGCACTCTGCTGACGTGTCACTGCTGAGGTGGCACTCTGCTGTCGTGTCACTGCTGAGGTGGCACTCTGCTGATGTGTCACTGCTGAAGTGGCATTCTGCTGATGCGGCACTGTTGAAGTGGCACTCTGCTGATGTGTCACTGCCGAGGTGTCGCTCTGCCGATGTGTCACTGCCGAGGTGTCACTGCTGAGGTGGCACTTTGCTGACGTGTCCGGAGGCTGGCAACCGTATACCGAGAGGAGAAGAGAGAAGGTAGGGTGTGGAGGAAGGGCAGAGAGGCAAGCAATGCACAGACAGTCCCTTTCTCCCCTGACCTCGAAGTCTGACACTAATCAAAGAAAAAAAATCCCCCCCCGATGAATTTTCAAATTTTGAGAATTTAAATAAAATTTAATCGGAATTTTGGCAAAAGATTTAATATTCAATTAAAGAATACTTAACATTGCAATACTTAATTTCGCAAAGGTTAAATATTTAATTAAGGAATATGTTACGATCCTGGTCATTTCCCAAGTGCAAATTCACAATGAAAGACAATGCCACCCAATTGCGAAAGAAATGAAAGCACTTGTAAAGAGATAAAGACCAGAGGAGAGGTAAAGAAGAAGAAGAAGAAGAAGAAGAAGAAGAAGAAGTACACCAGCAAGACCAATGACAATTCCCCCTTCTCTCTCCACCTTCCTCCTTCCTCCTTCCTCCTTCCTCCTTCTCTTCACCAATCTTATTCTTCTCTCAATAATAATAATAACAATGTATGGATGAACCAGAATCAATGTCCGAAGTTCCCCCTTACTGCTGACTCAACTCACAACAACAACAACAACAMCAAGTCYACCATGGCTATGTCTTCCCTCCTTCAACCTCCTCTCTCATGCATAGGCCATGGCGGACTACTGGGTGGCAGCTATGGTGCTGCCCTGATGTCCAGAAGACAACCCAAAGCAGCTATGCCGCTGCTTGACTTGGTCCGCTATGCCTGACTCTGCCTCGAGCTGCCCTGGTGCAGCGCTACCCCAACTGGGGCCTTCCAGATGCAGCGCCCAACAAGGTGATGAAGACGGTGTCGACCATAGCCAGGTAAGTGCCCTATTACTCTCCTACCATGCCCCCCTTCTTCCTCCTCCTCAAGCTGGGGTGCTCGCCATAGCCAGGCTGAGCCCCAACGGACCTTCACCTCCAACCAGCGATGCTTCAGTCCAGCGCTGCGCTCCAGCAGCATGTCGCCAATCCTTGCATACCGCAAATGAGGAAGAGCTCTCCGCTCTTCCTGAAGATATAGCGGCCTACCGGCCTCCTGGGCGGTGACTTCCTAGGCCAAGCGGCCTCCCAGCAACCGGTACCTCCTCCCTTTTGGAGGGAAACATCATTRCAGGCTCTGTTATTGTCCGCACAGGCCCTAGACCCGGGCTACTTGGACTGGTACCGGCMTACCTCTAACCTACYGCTACTGGGCCTCTAAAAATGCCAACTTTTTGTCTTCTTCWGCTCGGCCTACCTGCTACTTGAGTGTTTTTCCCCAGCTGCTCTAAGTGTCGTGGGCCTACTCCCCGCTACCGGCGTGTTTACCCCCYTGCAACCCTTCAAAGTCAYGGCCACAGGTAAGTACCGGCCCGGTGGGCCTTGCAACCAACAAGTACCCTTGTGGGTCACCCCACATACCCAACCAGCAAGCACTCAGACAGGCATGCAAACCAGCAGGCACGCACACACACACAACCGGCAAGCACTCAGACAGGCCTGCAAACCAGCAGGCACGCATACACACAGACTTGGGACCACAGCAGAATGCGGGAATCACAGCAAGGCATTCATTCCAGTGACAAATCCCAGAAATCAGCAGTGTTCTCAGTCTGTGTTTTTGGCGGGTCATTACAAATATTTAAATTTGCACAAATAACAATGAATAAAGTTTAAGCAAGTTTAAACATTTGAACATAATTTCAATAATTTCACGAAATTTGCATTGGAAGAATTTAGCATCATCACGAGGTCGCTCATTAAGTAGAAGATGAATGGTAGTAGGAAGATACACAATTTGCTGGAAAGATTCAACCTTTCAAACGCAAAAAAAAAGATGCAGTTTGCAAAAAGTGAAAGTTCCGTGAAGTTGTAGTTTGAATATGGCCGTGCTCAGGCCCGATCTGCCCTGATTAGCGCGGTGCCTGGCTGGCACTTACTTCGCATAGGTAAGATAGGCCGTTTAGATTAGGTTAGGACTAACCCTAATTAGCGCTAATTAGGTTGCTCGTAATCAGCGATTCCCTAATTGCCCGATATGGAGAAAAGTCGCATACCTAAAATTATAATTTTAACGACCTAATTACTATGAAAGTATGAGAAAAGAAAATAGAAGAAAAGAAAAAAAAATTGCAACTTGCAATTTTAATGATAACAGAGTGCAGGTGTAGATAATCAATCAATCAATCAATCAATCAATCAATCAATCAATCAATCAATCAATCAATGGTGAGTCATCCAATGCTGGTCTGCTCCGATACCAAACTGTTGCATATGTAATGAACCCAGATCGTGAGACAGTTGTCAACAATGCAAGTCCAGATAAATGTCCATCGGCTGATGATTACAAATAATAAAAAATTGAGACCAGACAGAATGAAGTGAGATATCATACACAGACGAAGAGAGAGGAGGGAGAAAAGACAAAGGAGAGGAAGAAACTGCCCACTCCTGCTTCGGGCTCCCTCCTCCTGCCACCTCAACAATCAATAGTCTGAACGAGTATCCGAGTATCCTCAATGTGCCACGTGGCACGACTAATCAGTTCCACATCAGCATCTGGAGCAATGTCGACATGAAGACCACCAGGTACGTATCCTCGAACTCCCCACAGTCCTGATCTCCTCCTGAAGTGACGACGAACAGAACAGCAATGCCGAATATGTAGTCCCAAACGTGGACAGCAGCCACATCAGCATGATACACGTGGCAGCAGCCACATCAGCGAAGGTGCATGGCAGCTGCCACGTCAGCAGGCCAAGAAGACAGGAGCAAGCCGGCCACCATGCCAGAATAGCAGCACCTCGCCAAGTCACAATGCCAGCAGCGTCGAGCCAGCGTCGCAGCGTCAAGCCAGTGTCAAAGTCAATGCGTGAAGTCAGCATCAACACAAGACAGAATGAATGTCAAAGCCAGGAAGTCAACTCTTATGTAGTGTTGACGCGGGGTCTGGACCCCGGATGCTGTATCCCTCAGCCGTCCAGATCTCAATGCGAATGAGGGCTCAGATCAACCTGAAACCGAATTCCCTCCGGCCTGGATGCTGTCTGGGTACCTGCGCACAACAAGTGAGTGTATCCAACCCAGGGCCTGGGTGCGGTACCTTTGACTCTACAGTTGACTTTGACTCTTGAATTTCCTGTGTGCAGCGTTCGGTCACACAGCCGCACTCGACAGACTCAGGCCTCGGCGTGTCTTCGTCACACAGCCCAGCGCAGACCTTCTCAGGTCTGCGTGGCCTGGGGCTGAGTTCTGGGCCCCAGGCTACTTCTGAACAGGGTTATTACACATACTTGTGAAACACAGTCATAAGTATGGCGCAGATTCCCAGAACCGACCAGATAATACAGAGTTAATACAAATGCAAGCGGAAGACTTGAGATACCTTGGACTGACTCGGACCTGACTCGGACTGCAATCGAACACTCTCAAACATTCATCAGGGGTGTGAATGCCCTGGCCTCAGACGTAGACAAAAGGCCAGGGACTGAGATCATCCACGGACGAAAGGAGAGAGGAGAGAGACGAAAGGAGGAGGAGAGGGAAGATGACGTCAACTCAGTGTTTCCAAAGATGGTAACTTGAAATGTCAGAAGTGACGAAAGTCCGAAATGTCGCGAATGCCAAGTCTCACAATATCTCAGATATCGATCTCACAATGTCAAGTACATCTTCAGAAGGAAGATGAAATCAGATCCCCGAGTAGTCCTCAGCTCGTAGTCTATCAGAATTCGTAACCATCCTTCATAGTGCAGTAGTCCCGTATGAGAACCCAGAAGTAGACTTAGACTGAGAAGGTAGGAGGGGAGAGAGAGAGAGAGAGAGAGAGAGAGAGAGAGAGAGAGAGAGAGAGAGCTGGGGGCCGAGGAACAGAGGGAGAGAAGGCAGAGCCTTCCTCCTGGTACCTGACTGGTAGCTATGGCACGGCAGGGCCGCCGTGCTGTTCCTCTCGCTGCTGCGCTCGTCGTCGCCTGGCTGCTCTCCCTAATGCCGCTGCGCTGCGCTAATCTCCTTAATGCTGCCAAGCTGCGCTAATCCCGAAGACTAACTCTCGTCCATACTAACTCTAACCTACGGAGGCTGGTACCCAGCCTTTTGTAGTGCTGGGCCGGCCTCTTACCTGCTGGTACCTACCGGCCTGGACCGTTGATCTGAATCGACGGTCCAGATTCAAACTGGACTTGGCGCCTAAAATGTGGCAGCCTCTGAAGCGCCGCCGGTGGGTCCTATGCTGGACCGGTACCGGCCTTGTGGCCGTTTGGCCTGGGCTTCTACACTGGGCCTGCCTGAACCGCCGTGGTCCAGGCCCATCCGGGCCTCATCTGAATCGTCGTCCCTTAGGCCTACCCTGCCTGTCTGGAACCGGGCCCTAACTGGGGCCCGTGTGGCTCAGAGTGCGACAATTGCTCTGCTAAAGCCACCATTAAGGAGGGAATCACTGAAGCCACAAATGCCGAACTGAGTGACATTCATGCATCGCCTGAAACCAAGTGAGGATCGGTGGTTCACAAGAGAAGAACTAAAAGAGTTTGTGCCTCAGTTGGTTCTGCAATACAGGAGGGTTCTAAGAGGAAAGCAACGGCAACGTCAGGAAGAGTAAGGGTTCTCAGAGGCCTTGGAACCTGAGGGGGTCAGAATGCAAGGCTACAGGC